TTTGTTTTATTGTTTCCTGATTTCCCATAAAGTCATTAGCTTCCATTTGTTCAATTCTAATTTTTAAGGAATTATTTTCTTCAGTGAACTTTGGTACCTCCATTTCATTTCGGCCAATTGTACTTTTTAAAAATAAATTGTAGGAGCAGAGCCAAAATGGTGGAGGAAAGGCATCCATCCAGCTGAACACTCCCAATATTCCCCTCCAAACAACTTTAAAATAACATCCCAAACAGAATTTTGGAGCGGCAGAGACAACAAAAGGTCACAATGAGACATTTTCCCAGTCTAAAAGAACTTAGGAGGTTGGCAAGAAAGGTCTGTGACACCAAGGTGGGCAGCAGTAGCACCAGAGGGAGGTCCTAGAGACAGCAGCAACAAGTGTCAGCAATAGCTTTGGGAGGTGTCAGAGCAGCAATGTTCTAGGTGGCAGTTCCCAAGTGGAGAAGAGCATTGGTGGTCAGTCACAAGGGAGCAGGGGCCCTGGTCACAGTTACAAGGCAGAGAGGTGCACTAATGTTTGTGGCTGCAGGGGATGATCAAGGACTCTTCCTAGGGAAAGGGAAAGCCACAGTGTAGACCAGGAAAGCAGGGGCCACACCTCTCCCTGCCTCCCACCACCTTGGAAGCACTGAAAAACTGGCAGATCTCCAGAACTAGCACTGAAAACACCAGCACAAAGAAGCCTGAAGCTTGAGACAGTGCCTCCCCACTGCCAGGTAAACAAAGCTCAACTTTAACATAAAGTTCAAAGTTAAGAAATAAGTTGGGGAAATGAGCAAACAACAAAAAAAGAACTTGACCATAAAAAGCTACTACAGTGTCAGGGAAGAACAAGATACAAACTCAGAAGAAGACAACAATGTGAAAACAGGTAGATCCAAAGCCTCAAAGAAAAATGCTAATTAGACCTAAAGCCTAACAAGAATTCCTGGAGGAGTTAAAGAAAGCCACGAGTAATAAAATTGGGAAAAGAAATGAGAGTAATACAAGAAATCTATGAAAAGAGAATTAACAGCTTGGTAAAAGAAGCACAAAAATATACTGAAGAAAATAAAACCCTAAAAAACAGATTTGGCCTAATGGTAAAAGAGGTACAAAAATTCACTTAAGAAAAGACCTTCTTAAAAAGGAGAATTGTCCAAATGGAAAAAGAGTTTCAAAAACTCACTGAAAAAAATGATTTTTTTCTTTTTTCTGACTCGCTCAGGTCACACAGCTAATAGGTGTCATGTGTGTGAGGCTGGATTTGAACTCAGGTCCTCCTGACTCCAAGGCCAGAGCTTTATCCACTGCGCCACCTAGCTGCCCTGAAAATAATCCCTTAAAAACTGGAATTGGACAAGAGGAAGCTAATGACTCCATGAAACATCAAAAAACAAAACAAAACAATAAAACAAAGGCGAAAGAATGAAAAAATAGAAGAAAATATCTCATTGGAAAAACAACTGACTTAGAAAATAGATCAAGGAGAGATAATTTTAAAATTATTGGACTACCTGAAAGCCATGATTAAAAAAATAGAGCCTAGACATCATATTTCAAGAAATTATCAAGAAAAACTGCCCCAATATCTTAGATTTGGATTCCATAGAAATGGAAAGAATCCACTGATCACCTCCTGAAAGAGAAACCAAAATGAAAACTCCCAATATCTTAGATTTGGATTCCATAGAAATGGAAAGAATCCACTGGTCACCTCCTGAAAGGAAACCAAAATGAAAACTCCCAAGAATATTACAGCCAAATTCCAGAGTTTCCATGTCAAGGAGAAATTATTGTAAGCACCCAGAAAGAAACAATTCAAATACCATGGAGCCATAACCAAGATCATGAAAGATTTAGCAGGTTGCATACTAAAGAAATGAAGGGCTTGGAATCACATTTTGAAATGCAAAAGAGCTAGGATTGCAACCAAGAGATGAAAAGACCAGAGTTGAATAGAAAAATTTACATTATTAGACATCAAAGATTAAGGAATTTGCCAATTTGTCTTCATAACTTTGGTTTCCCTATTCCATATCTAATTGCTCAAGAAAGACTCTTGAAGAAATGAGCTATCATAAGATCACAGATTTAGATATGGAAGAGACCTCTGAGGTCACCTAGTTCAATTCCTTCATTTTACAGATGAGGAAACTGAGACTCACAGAGGTTAAATGATTAATGCAAGAACTCACACATAGTAGGTCATCTTTAAATACATTTCTAAAAGTCTGTATTAAAAACTTCAACCTAAAATGGAAACACCCCTGTAGACCACATACTTAGAAAACCATAATTAATATTGTCTATGTTGTATTTTCATTTATTTTGTGAAACATTTCCTAACTACATTATATTCTAGTTCCTGAAGTACTCAGGAGTTTTGCCTGAAGTAGATACCTCTGACCTAAAGTATGACAGGCAAAATAATGTATGCATTGTCTGACTTGGCCACTGTTTATTGCTTTTTTTTTAAACTGTTTTGCTTTATTTTAAGGTGAAGGCTCACTAGATGAGATAACAGCAGGATGGCAGTTAAGTCCAGAAATGACTGATAGAAAAACTAAAGGCATCAATAAAACTTTAAAAATAAAATACACCTTGCCACAAATAACAAGATGGATAGGAACATATATTATCATGTTCTAAGCTGAACAGAAAGTATCACATTCTCTCAAGTCAGGTTATGATTGATAAAATCATGTAAATAGCTATTTTAACTATGCAACTCCTTGCAACTACCTTTCTATTAATCAAGGTTTTTCCAAATCATGTCACCGTTTAGAAAATAATTTTTAAAAATAAAATTCATGTCAGCTAGCTAAGCCTTATGAAGTCTGAATTTAATCAATACTGACTTGGAAATTAAGCTACCATGCAAATAACTGGGTCTCCAACAACACACATTTACAATTAGACCCATTAAGTATCAAATCCAAGCCTCTAAGTGTACTAAATCAAAGCCTACTTGATTCTAGTATGTTCTTATGCCAAGAGAGAAAACACAACAAAGATCATACGGAACATGTAAGCCTTCCCCTTCACTTTAGAAAAGCACTTTGCCGTTATTAAGATTTTCTATATATTTACTTTGTGATTACATATTGTCTGCTGGTAAAGGCTAGAGTGTAACAGGATGAGGTCTCACCCAGTTACAACATCCATTTGCTGGAAGTAAAGATATTTTTACTATAAAGATAATGCTTGTCCAAAAGTTTTTTCCCATGGTGTTTTGGAAATTTAGAAACATGATTAAGCTTATCATTTAACGGAAATCTCCCCTCTCTGGAGAGCAAGTAAAACTGCTAATGTATACAAACGAACTTTCTCAATACAGTATGTAGCTTCCTGTACTTTGGGGCTCAAGTGGAAAACTAAGTTTCCTAATGGATGGAGTGTAACACTTAAGGATTAACCTGTGACATAGAACTTCATTTCATCCCTTTACAATAGTTTCCTAACTGATCTCCCTGCTTCCAGTCTTTCTGTTTGTCAATCCAGTCTCCATACAACTACCAATTGATACTGCCACTCTCTGCTCAAAAAGCTCCAGAGGTTTCCTACTGTCTTTACGTTAAGATAGAAACTCTTGTTTGTTATAAGAAGTCCTTCACAATTTGACTCCAGGTTACTTTTCCAGATTTATTTTAATTTCCTTTCTTTCATACACTGTATTTTTGGGTGCAGTGGCTTTTTTTGCTATTCTGTATACAGAACGTTTCATTTCCCTTCTGTATGACTTTGCATAGGCTACCCCCTATGCCAGAAATGCCTTTATTCCCCTCACCTCCACAGCTGTGTTCCTAGCTCTTTTCAAGGGTCAGTTCAAGGCTTTTCCTTCTCCTTCCAGTTGTTAGGACTCCTGCTATCCCATATTGAAATTCCATTTCCTTATCAGTCCCATACTGTCTCTCCTTATGATAGAAGAATCTTGAAGGCAAAGGCTCTTAAGTGCAGGGAAAAGAATACCAAGGTTGGAACAGGAATAACTGGGTTAAAACCCTGGCTCTGTCACTTATTACCTATTTGACCTTGGCCAGGTCAACTGATTTCTCTGGGCCTCGGGACGTCATCTGTAAAATGAGACCATTGGAGTCAGCGACCTCTCAGGGCCCTTACACCTCCATGGCTATCCATTTCTGCTGCCCAACCATACCGCTTTGCACACAAAAGGTACTTCATAAATACTTGCTGAATTAAACTGAATTGCCAGTTACTAGGGGAAGTAACACACAAACAAACTTGACAGCGAATTAAAATTTCCCAAAGAGAGGGGGAAAAAAAGAACCAAACATTCGATCTTGAAGCAGTAAAACTAGTTGGACAAATGAAGAGAGGAAGGTTCTTAAATCTGGATTTAAGAGTAGAAAATTGCTTATGGGGAATGAACTAGGAAGGAAAGTCATTACTTTGATTTTTATACTGCCAGCTCCTGGTCACTAAATTCAACAAGCCCCAAAATACTAGCCATTAACAAGATGCAGAAGGTGGAACTTTTCTGCAACAAAAGTGCATGTGATGATAACAGCAGGTGGTGATGGTGACAGAAGAACTTCACACACAAGTACAGAGTACAAACATTGATGATCCCCTTTTATATTTTGCTAAAGGGGGTCTATTCATAATTAAAACTTGACATTGCAAATCACGAGCAGAGTGAAAGCACAAGATAATAAGTACCATGGTATTTATTGTCATTTAATTCCATTAAGTAACAGATTAAACTTCAGAAGTCAAATTAAGTACAGATCAGAAAGAAGAAGAAAATATGAGACACTCTTGGCACTAGTTCTGACCTACAAGTTAAGTATTTCACATTGCTTCAATATTTTTGGCTTAATGAGAGGTAAACAGGAAAAAACAAGCATTTTGGAAGTGGGAGAATGGAGTACATGAAATACATATTACATTTAAAATAGACATTTCAGGCATAGCATTCAACTACAGTATGCAGGATAGTAAAAAGTGCACAGTGACACCTCAACAAAGAGTCCACACTCTTTTTTTCCCAATACCTTTCGGTCCCTGAATCCAGAACGCTGCTTCTTTTTCTCTTCGGGCAGATCATGAATATGACTGTCTTTACAGGGTTCTTTCTCCTTATTCTCCCCATTGTCCTCATCCTCATGGTCATCCTTGAGGTCTTCCTTTACTGATGGTGGAGATTCTGCATGGGCTCTGTGATGGGCAAGAACATAATATGGATTAATCTAATCAGCAGGAAACATAACACAAATCAAACAGGACCCACCCATAGAAGTAATAGGATCAACAGAAATAGATCTTTTGCTTTAAAAAAAAAATCTAGTGTCTATACATAAACATAACTAATACTCTGAACATAACTGAGATCCTTAACATTACAGGCTCTTGTCAACTTTAAGAACAATGAATGCCATGTGTGTCAAGTTCTTTCTTCTGTCAAGTCAAAGACTGTCAAAAATTTATTCTCCCTTTTCTATTAAGTCTTTTTTGACTACCTTAGTCCTTAGTGGTCTCTCACCTTTCTCATGTGTGTTTGGCACCTTTATGAAAAGTTATCACAGGTTAGGGCATTAAAACCACAAACAAATGAAGAAAAGGAGAAATATTAAATACATCCCTGACTAATCATGATATAATAAAAATTACAACCAACAAAGAGCATTGAAGAAAGAATTCAATAATGAAGTCTAAATAATTTAATCATAAAGAATTTTTGGGTCAAAGAACAAATGATGAACAGGTAACAGTTCTTGACCAAACTAGGGACTGAAAGTATCACAGAAGATAAAATGGACAATTCTGATTACATAAAATTGAATTTTTTTGCAAAAGCTTTTGTTTATTAAAATTCTAAGTTGTACAGAAGGTGCTGACCTACACTGGTAGAGGAAGTTTTCCTCCCTTTGGAATGCCATATACCAATGAAATAATAGGTATGGTCCCTATCCTTACTATCTTCTTGCACCAACAAAATCAATGTGGTTAAAATTAGAAGGGAAACAATTAGAAGGAGAAAAGAAATCTTTGCAATGAGTTTCTCTGATAAAAATTCAATATATAGGTAAGTAATTCAAGTATATAATAAGAGATATCCCCAACAGATAAATGATCAAAGGGCATGGACAGGAATTTCTTACAAGAAGAAATCCAAGCTCTTAACAATCATGTGAAAAAATATTCCAAATCTCTAGTAAGAAAAATGCAAATGGGAACATTGCTGAGACTTTGTTTCACAGTCATCAGTTTGGCAAAGATGACAAAAAAAGGAAGATGACATTACTGGAAGGGCTATGGGAAAACAATAAAATTAATAACATTTTAGTGACACTGTGAATTAGTCTAGGCATTCTGGGAAACAATTTAGAAATATTCCTTGAATTACAGAACTATGTATACACTCTGACCCAGCAATGCCACTATGTTAGGCTTATACCTTAGAGAGACCAAAGAAAATAGAAAAGGACTAATATGTACCAAAATCTTCACAATAGCAAAGAACTTCTAGCAAAGAACTAGAAACTAAAGAAATGCTCATTAGTTCAGGAATAATCAAAAAATTGTGATAAATGAAGGTAATGGAGTATTATTGTGTCAGATTTAGAAACCTTGAGAGACTTGTATAAATTAATATAAAATGAAGTGAGCAGAACAAGAATTTATTTTTAAAATTATTTTTGAATTAGCAAAAACCTATCTTCTTTCCAACTCACCCTCCAATTGAGAACTAAAGAAAAACAAAACCCTTATTACAAACATGTAAAGTCAAGCAAAACAAATTTCCAAATTGGTCACGTGGTGTGTGTGTGTGTGTGTGTGTGTGTGTGTGTGTGCGCGCGCGCGCGATTCTGCCCTATGTCCTTCACCTATCAGGAGGTAGGTATCATGTTCCATTGTTAGTCCTCTGGAATTGGAGCTGATCACGACACTGATCAGTCTTCCTAGGTCTTTCAAGGTTTTCAGTCTCTACAATATTGCTGTCATTACATAAACTGTTCTCTTAGTTCTGTTTACTTCCCTCTGTATCAGTTCATACCAATCTTCCCACATTTCTCCAAAACCATCCCCTTCATCATTTCTTACAGTACAACAGTATTCTACCAGATTTGCATACCATTACTTATTCAGCCATTCCCCAATTATTAGACATCATTTCAAATTCTCATTCTTAGCTACCTCAAAGAGCTACAAATGTTTTTGTATGTCCTTTAGGGTTTGTTTTGCTTAAAACTAATCCCTTTCTTAATCTATTCTTCTAATTCCCCCTTCTCCCCTTTCCCTCCCATTTCCCCGGTTAAGTGAGATGTATATTTGTACCTGTGCATGTGTGTATATCTGTATTCTTATTTCTTTTGATCAGTTCAGATGAGAGTGAAATTTAAATGTCAGCCATGGACCTCCTCCTCCTCCTCCTTCTTTGCACAGATATCCACTTTTGCACCCTGGTTATGTGAGATACTTTTCTTTAACCTTTTTCTCCCTTCCCTCCTAGTGAATTCCTCATCCCCCCTCTTCTCATTCTCCTTTTAAGATCATCAAGACATAACAGAACCATTCCAGGTCTTTGGTCTAATTTGATTACTTCTATGATCCCTGATGAAGGTAGAGTTCAATGGAGACGTGTATCATCTTCCCACACTAGAATGTAAAGTTTATCCTTTATCATTGTTCATCTGTGTTTACCTTTTTATGATTCTCTTCACTCCCATGTTTGAACTTCCAAGTTTCTACACAACTCAGGTCTTTTTATCAGGAATCCCTAGGAGTCCTCTATTTCATTGAAGATTATTTTTCCCCTACAGGATCATACTCAGTTTTGCTAGGTAAATTATTCTTGGTTGTAAGGCTACATCCTTTACCTTCTGGAATATCGCATTCAAAGCTCTCTGCTCTTTTAAAATGGTTAACTGCTAAATCTTGTATAATCTTGACTATGGATCTTCAGTATTTGAAATCTTTCTGGCCTTTTAAGTATTTTTTCTTTGACCTGGAAGCTCAGGATTTTGTCTAGAACATTCTTAGGAGTTTTAATTTTGAGGTTTCTTTCAGAAGATAACCAGTGGGTCGTTTCTATTTCTACTTTGCCCTCTAGCTCTAAAAGAACTAGGCAGTTTTAAGATTTCTTGAAATATGATGTCTAAGCTCTTTTCTTAGTCATGGTTTTCAGGTAGTCCAATGATTCTGTTGCCAAGGCCTGTCAGCTTACCTTTGCAATATCTCTCAAATTTGTCCTTTTCTCTCCCCTGACACTGCCCCTATTCTGATGCAGGCCTTCATCACCTCATTTCTGGAGTACTGAAGTAGCCTTCAGGTGAGTCTGCCTGCCTCAAATTTTTCCCCACTCCAACCTATCAACCTATTCAGGCAACAGAGCGATTTTCTTAAACTTCAGGTCCAACAATGTCACCCCCCTACTCAATAAACTCCTATGATTCTCTATGATTTCCAGGATCAAATACAAAATCCTCTGCTTGTTGTTCAAAGCCCTTCCTAGACCCCTTCTACTTTCCCAGTCTTCTTACACCTTACTTCACACCACATACCCTTCAACCCAGTGACACTGGCTTCCTGTCTCTTCCACAAACAAGACTTTAGTTATCCATATTACCTTATGTATATATATGTTGTCTATACAAGTCAATGTAGTTTATTTGCTAATACAATTAAGAAAGCACAATTCTTGAATCATTAGATTTCTTGGGCTTCAAGTATTTTTAAAAAGAAAATTCATATATGCAGAAGATCACATTCTGGGCTGGTTCTTGACACTATGTTTCTGCTCAGTTATAGGGCAAGACTTCTTTTCATTTATTTTCCCCCATGAGATCATTTACTTTTATTTGAATGATGCCATTTTCCAATGGACCCAAAACCAAATTACTCAAAAGAAATCTGCACCCTTTAGCACTACTGAAAAATAGGAAGTCAACAGATAATAACGGACTTAAATGATGATAAAACAAAACCTAAGTATTTAGAAATACATCTAGGTTTATTTGGAAGAAAATTAGATAACAGCTTTTATATAGTGCTTTAAGAATTACAAAGTACTTTGCAAATATTAGCTTGTTTGTGAATTGAGCAGAACCAGGAGAACACTGTACACAGTAACAGCAATAAGGTGAATGACTTACCTATTCTCAGCAATACAATGATCCAAGACAATTCCAAAGGACTCATGATGAAAAATGCTATCCTCTTCTAGAGAAAGAACTGATGGGAGTCTGAATGTAAATTGAAGCATACTATTTTTCACTATCTGTATTTTTGTGTGTGTCTTTTTTTTCCTTTGCCTGTGTCTTCTTCACAATATGACCAATATGGTAATATGTTTTACATGATTAACCATGATATAACCTATATCAAATTGCTTACCATCTCACAGAGAGGGGAGGTAAGGGAGGAAGACAGAAAATTTGGAACTCATGTTAAAATTGTCTTTATATGTAACTGGAGAAAAAATATTATTTAAAAAATTATCCTGATCTATCCTTACAACAACCCTGGGAAGTAGGTGCTATTATTATCATCCCCATTTTATAGTTGAGGAAAGAGGCAGACAGTATTAAGTAACTTTTCCAGGATGACACAACCTCTAAATGTATGAGGCTAGATTGTAACTCAAGTGTTTCTGACTCCAGGCCCAGAGCCCTAACCACTTCGCCATAAAGACAGATTAACTACAAGGACAGTACATCCATATGCTTTACAGCATAGTAACAGGGAAGTCAAGTCACATCAACAAGTATTTAATAAGTGTCTACTATGTGCCAGGCACTGTGCTAAGAGCTACAGATAAAAAGAAAGGCAAAAGACATCTCTTAAGGAGCTCATAATCTAAAAGAGGAGACAACATGCAAAGAATTATATGTAATAAGATATATAAAGGATAAACTGGACATAATCTTAGACTAATATTAAGGGAGATTAGGTTTCACTCAAATAGCTAAAGCAACCTGAACTGCTAATGAAAGGTTAATACTTTAGAATACTAGTACTTTGGTAAAGGCCCAATAAGCTGCTTTTAATTTTGTAGGGAATTTCTTTAAAAAAAGAAAACATTTCCCCCACATTGCCATCTTTCTCACTTTTGCTATCCCACATGCCATAGATAGAGAACGAAGAATACTGAATCCAGTCCAGTTCTGACCCAATCCACAGGTTTAGGTTATGATTAGTCCAGACTGGAGAAGGCAAGATGTGAGTCCCTCCTAACAGTGGGCTATCCCTCTCAAAACCCACAATGCTTTAAATTTGGCATCTAGGAAGCAGATCACTCTAGCATACATCCAGAATTTTCACAAGTTCTAGACCAAATCATAGATCTGAGCCTGCCAAATCTCTACGAAAATTCCCCAAATTATCTTGTTCATCCAAGGGTCCATGGGATTACTGTTGACCAAGAGCTACCAGGACCAGACAATCTAGACCTTCTTCCCCCAAGACTAAAAGATGACTGCTGCTTTACTACTGAATTGAAAAGCTGTGATCAGATGGCAAAATTATGGCATGGGATAACTGTGCAATCCATACAAGAGATTTACCAGTGTGTTCATCACATTCCAAACTAGAATTCAAGCAGGTACCATTTCTTAAGCATCTAGCACTAGTCTGCTCACAATGGCATCAGCCCTGAAGAATGCATAGTTCCCTCACAGCATAGTGAATACACAGAAGTTCTATCATTCTACCTCCTTTAAGAGGTTGAGCTGTTGTTATCAAAATGTCTAAGGTGACTATGGCCCTGATGGCAGGAATGGTTTCTCTTTGTAAATGCTACTGCTGGAAAGTAACATTCACTACAATAAAAAGAGAATGTTTCTAGGCCTTGGACAATTTTATTTCAGACAGTTATCAGATATGTTTTTAAGGTTCTGTTTTTGGTAAGGTTTAAAGATGGGAATGAACAAATTGTAATTTGGGGTAGAGGAGTGATAATCCCAGAAAAGAGAGGATCATTGTTTGCCTAATAACTTCACATGACTCATACAAAGATCTTTGCCTGGCCATAGTCTATGACAGCAACTGCCCCAGAAAGCAAAGTGTGACAAGGCATTTCCTTTATTATGGCACCTCCCTTTATTATTTGTGTAAATAAGATGTGTTTATTTTTAACTTTGAGTAAAATGGCCTACAAGTAGCACATCCATGATTAAAACACACAGTTGGAAGCACAAATTATAAATATTTCAGCATTAAAGTTATCAGAAGCCATTTTGGGGCCAAAAAAGCCACCATGTCCCTTTTCAGTATAAAACTGAATTCATCCCAGTTTTCTCTCTGCAGATGGGGGGAGAGGGGTGCGAGTAGGGCAGGAACAGCAATTCTGAAACCCTATAGCGCTTTCAAACTTTGTGATGAAATGTTGCAGTATTTAAAATGTGGCTATTCCATGGTTTATGAGAAATCAGATGAAGCTGTGGGTTCTGTGCATACCCCAGGGGCCTCTGGGCACCCCCCTTGATTCTGGAAAAAGGTACTGCTTAATTGTCTTTGAAAGGGTGCTTTTTTCACTCAGAATTAACCAGGTTGTCTCCTCTTGGCTGGTGACTGTTGAGTTTTGTGCCTTGGGCCTAACCAAAAGCTGTGCAAAAAGGGAACACTGTAGCTTTTATAATCAAACAATTTGACTATTATTATACCAGCTTACAGGGTTATCCAGCAGGTGCTTTTTATTAATTAAGAGCAGATGCTCACATTTGATAGATAATATATATTTATTAAATGTATTAATGTGTTTTCTAATATACTTTCCCCCTCCATCCCCACCCCGTTGCTGAGTGTTGCATACCTAAAAAGAACATCTTTAAAGAATTTTCAAGACAATCAGTGTATACCATAAATGACTGTATTTAAGAATACAAATTAAGAAGGTTGTAAAGCATGGGCAGATGTGTTTTATTTTCAAAATGCTATTCTTAACAAAAAATAAGGGCTTTACTATTTAAAAAAAAAAAAGAGGTTGAGCTATAAGACAACACCTTTAAAACAGGAACAGAACTAAGAGCCATGGATCAGATAAAGACGCAGGAGTGACATCACTCTAAGAAACAAGAGGGGAAAATTCACAATAAATAAGTACAGTTCCTGACCACAACACTTAAACTGAAATTTTAGCTCCTGATACTGAGAAAGGGAAAAAGACTGGATGACAAATATCACAAAAAATGGTGACTCAGGCACCATTTTTGGTGACTAAGTCAATAAACATTTATTCAGCACCTACTTATGTGCCAGGCACTATGCTAAGTTATAGAGATACAAAAATAGGTAGAAGACAGTCTCTGACCTCAAGGAGTTTATAATCTAATGGGAGACAACATGGAAACAAATGTACAAATAGGCTATATATGGGCTAAATAGGAAATAATTAACAGAAGGAAGGCACTAGAACTTAAAGGGGTTAGGAAATGCTTCTTGTACAAAAGGGGATTTTAGTTGGGACTTAAAGGAAGCCAAGGAAAGCAGTAGGTGGGGATGAGGAGGAAGAGCATTCCAGGCATGGAGGAATGCCAGAGAAAATGCCCAGAGCTGAGAGAGAGAGGGTCTTGTTCATGGAACAGCCAGGAGGCTAGAGTACATAGTGGGGAGTAAAGTGTAAGAAGAAAGGAAAGGGAGGAGGGTGACAGGTTATGAAGGGCTTTGAACACCAAAGCGGATTTTTGTATTTGATCCTGGAGGTGATAGAGAATCACTGGAGTTTATTGAGTAGGGGAGTGTCATAATTGACCTGTGCTTTAGGAAAATCATTCTGGTGGCTGAATAGAAAGAGGATGGATTGGAGTAGGGAAAAACTTGAGGCAGACTGACCCACCAGTGGGCTATTACAATAATCCAGGTGTGAGGTGATAAAGGCCTGAACCACAGCGTTGGCTGTATGAGAAGATAGAAAAGGGAGTATTGGAGAGGTGAATTTGACAGGCCTTGGTATAGCTCGGATATTGGGGTGGGGGGAGATATTAAAGAGTAGAGAATGGCACCTGGATTTTGAGACTAAGGGATTGAATGGTGTTGCCCTTGACAAGAATAAAAAATTTAGGGATTGGGGAGACATGGGTATGTTTATAGACAGTAGAGAAGGAGGCAGTAATGAGAGAGAGAGAGATTGAAAATAAGTAAGAGTGAGGATGACAGAGGGAGCAATACGTTGGAGGAAATGGGACTGAATGGGATCACTTGAAAAGGTGGAGGTGTTAGCCTGCTAAGGAATAAGTCCACCTTATAATGTGAACGGGGTAAAGGAGGAAAGAGTGGCAGAAGACAACTAAGTGATACGACATGAGGAAGAGGGAAGAAAAAGGAGGTCATGGTGAATGGCATCCATTTTTTCTGTAGAATGTGAGACAAGTTTTCAGCTAAGAGGACAGGGGAAGGAGAAGCCATGGGAGGTTTAAGCAGGGATGAAAAGGTTTGTGTGGAGAGTGGCATAGCGAGATGATAAAGGGAGGTACAGTACGATTTCCTAGCATCAATGAAGGCTCAGCTGAGGTTGTGTAACATAAATTTGAGTGGACCCAGTCAGAATGGTTACATGATTTTCTCCACCTTTGTTCAGCTGAACATTGTGTAGGAGCAAAGGCAGTATGGTGGGCACAATCCAATTAGGGTGCAATCAGCAAAATAATAAGGGGGCTAGTGACTCAAGAGAAGAGGTCAGTGACCAAGGGCTCACCAAATGACTCATCTTAGGAGTCACTAAAATTAGTGCTGCCATTATTTTTAATCTGGAGAAAAAAACCCACCAAACCATCTGAGGATATGTACAGGCAGCCTACAAATCTGGAGTATACTCAATCTCAAATGACAGCTAGATTTTATGACATTTTATTTCACATACGCATATCTGCAATACTTAACGACTGACAACAAAGAATGATAACAATGAGGTCAGAAAAATGCTTCTTCAGGGTATAAAAGTAGAGAGAGAGAAAGAGTACTGGCTACTACAGTAAACCTACCTTTTCCATAAGAGGCCTGTGCTTGCTGCAACTGCAGATGTTCCCCCGAAAGCTACCATCATCAATCGGCGCCTACCCTGAGTAAGATGTGATGAGCCATGGTACCTTCGGGAAACAATAGCCAGCCCTGCCACAGCAGGGAAAAAACGAAGACAAAACATCCTGCGGATAGAAAATAAAAATGTTATTCTCTGATGGTTAAAAATAAGAAAACATAAAATGCTCATTTTTTGTGTAATTTTCATTAAATCCTTTTTATCAGTACTTCCAATCCTCAAATGATACTTTAAAGTATAATCGTGAAAATGATTTGATGTTGGTTAAAAAACTAAAAAGTAAATCAGTGGATCAGAAAAGTAGATGAGGGGTAACCTTCCTAGAAGATGGTGTGAAAGTAAAACACAAGAATGTTGATACATTGAACCTATGGGAAATAAGGGATTACGTTTCCTTGACCACCAAAAACTGTAACATTTCTTTTCTGCATACAAATCTTTATTACAAAACATTAATTCTGATTAATATGCACTTTTCCTAACATAATAATTATGAAATAACCTATAACATGCAAGGGAGAGGAGAGGCAATGCTGAACCAGGACAGAAGGGGCAGGGGCTGAGACATCAGAAGAACCCTGAGGCAAAAAAGGGAAAGGAGCAACTCTTCATTTCTAATCTCCCTTTCAGCTCTGTAGTGGAACTATATCACGTGGGGCCAATATGGATGGAAACCTAGTGGGGGGGGGGAGGGTGGAGGCAGGAAGCTTGCTTGGGTGAGCAACACCTCATTTACCCACAAACTTAGCTGCTTTTTCTATTCCCTCATCACACAGCTAAAACATTATTTTAGCACTTTCTAGAATAGATTAACCGACCCTTTTAGGAATACTTTTACAAATACTTTCCTCTTTTTTGCAGATATAAGGAGTCCTTAACACCAAACTTGAAGCCAATAGCAGGTGGAGACATTCCCCCACAAAGTTTATCTAACACCTTTATTTTCTCACTAAGTGCATCCTTGACTTGGAATGCTTGGGCTTAAGAGGCCAAAGAACTTGCACTGAGCTTTGGGGGCATAATTACAATACAAAAGCTGAGTTTTAAAGGCAAACAATGAAAATACCAATGAAAGCACCAGAGCTCTTTACAGCTCTAGGGTGAACAAGACTGGTTAAGGGCCCAGTAGGATACCAGGGGTCTCACAAACCTACATGCATGGTGCCTCTCACTTTTTGTCTACTGCTCATAGCCACAACTGTGTATGTGAATGTCCTGAAAGTTAAATGCATGAAGATGTTGAGGATTGCCTGTATATATACAAAACAGAATGAAGATGATCCCAGAGGGTAAGGCACTAACAGCTTAGAGTGGCTCCCAATACTTACAAGATAAAATTCAAATGCTATTTGGTGTACATTTTAAGGCCCTTTCTTATCTGACCCTAGCATACTTTTCTGGACTTATACTCTCAAGGTTATACTGTAGGCCCTCTTTATTGTGGTTGTTGTTACCAGGGCTCTATGGAAGCCAACAAAGCAAACGCAACTTAAATAATACAAAGTAACACTAAAAGAGCCACAATGGGGGTGGAACCAAGAAGGTAGAGGGGCGGCAGCAAGCTATTTGAATTCTCCCAACATTCCCCTTCAAACAACTTTAAAATAACACCTCAAATAAAATTCTGTAGTGGCAAGGCCAACAAAAAGTTGGGGCGAGTCATTTTTTTCCTGCCCAAGCCAACTTAAGGGTTCCGTGGGAGAAGTCTGTAGTCTGAAGCCTATGTGGCAACAGCACCAGCTATGGGCCATGAGAGGCAGCTATGACAGCAGCAGCAGTTTTGGGAGCTCTCAGCCTAGAGACAGTAAGGAGGCCAACTAACTGATCAGAAAGAGATTACAGGGGACACTTTGCTAGCATTTAGTGCAGCTGGAACTCTACTGCCCATATGCAGTTCTGGGTCACAATTCTAGGCCAAAAAAAAGCACTTATGATCCATCACAAGGAAGCAGCGGCCCTGGTTGCAGTTCCAAGACAGAGAGGAATACTAATGCTTGCAGCTGCGGGGCAGGGGCCCTTCCTAGCCCTTCTAAGGGACCATACCTCTCCCTTCCTCACACCACCTTGGAAGCACCAAAAACTTGCAGACTCCTAGAACTAGCTCTGAAAACATCAGCACAAAAAAGCCTGAAGCTTGGGACAGTGCCTCCAAACCCCCTGGTAAGCAAAGTCCAACTTTAACATAAAAGTTCAAAGCCAAGAAATAGGTTGGGGAAATGAATAAACAGTAACAAAACAGTAACGACAATAAAAAGCTACTATGGTGGCAGGGAAGAACAAGACACAAACTCAGAAGAAGACAACAATGTGAAAACAGCTTCAAGCAATGCCTCAAAGAAAAATGTTTATGGATAAAAGCCAAACAAGAATTCCTGAAAGAGTTAAAGAAAGACATAAGGGTGGTAGAAGAAAACATGGAGAAAAATTAAGAGTGATGTAAGAAAATTATGAAAAGAGAATTAACAGTTTGGTAAAAGAGGCACAAAAACATACTGAAGAAAACAAGTACCTTAAAAAACATAAGCCTAATGAAAAGAGGCACAAAAATTCACTTAAGAAAAGAACTCCTTAAAAAGCAGAATTATCCAAATGGAAAAAAAAAAGGACAAAAGCTCACTGAAGAAAGTAATTCCTTAAAAATTAGAATTGAGCAAGTGGAAGTTAATGACTCCATAAGACATCAGGAAGCAATAAAACAAAATCAAAAGAATGAAAAAATAGAAGAAAATGTGAAATATCTCACTGGAAAAACAACTAACCTAGAAAACAGACTGAGAGATAATCTAAGAATTACTGGACTACATGAAAGTCAGAATCAGAAAAAGAACCTAGACATCATAAATCAAGAAATTATCAAGGAAAACTGCTCCAATATCTTAGAAATGGAGTATAAAATAGAAATGTAAAGAATCCACCAATCACCTCCTGAGATCCCAAAGTGAAAACTCCCAGGAATATCAGAGCCAAATTATAGAGCTCCCATGTCAAGCAGAAAATATTGTAAGCATCCTACAAGAAACAATTCAAATATCATGGAGCCCCAGTAAGGATCACATAATATTTAGCAGCTTCCACATTAAAGGAGCAGAGGGCTTATAATATGATATTCCAGAAGGCAAAGGAGCTAAGATTACAGCCAAGAATCACCTACTCAGCAAAACTGTATAATCTTTCAGGAGAAAAAAGGGACACTTAATAAAATGGAGGACTTTCGATCACTTCTGATAAAAAGACCAGAGCTGAATATAAAATCTGGCACTCAAACACAAGACTCAAGAGAAGCATAAAAAGGTAAATATGAAAGAGTAATCATAAGGGACTCAATAAAGTTAAACTTTACAATTCTATATGGGAAAATGATAAATGTAATTCTAAGATTTTTTATCATTTTTAGGGCAGTTAGAAGACAGAAAGAGGCCATGAATGTGAGTTATATATGTTGGGATGATCAAAACAAAAAAAAATGAAGAGGTAAGAAAGAGGGATGATCAGGCAGAAGGGGAAAAGGAGAGATAGGATGTGAAAAATTTTCTCAGATAAAAGAGGCATGCAATGAAAACCTTTTACAGTAGAAGAGAAAATGAGGGGGGTGGCAGATAGTGCTTGAACCTCACTCTCATTAGATTGGTTCAAAAAGTAAAGAATATATATACACACTCAGTTGGGTATAGAAATTTAACTTACCCAACAGAGAAACAGGAAGGGAAGGAAATAAGAGGAAGGGGAGGGGGGAATGACAAAAGGAAGGGTGGATTAAGAGAGGCAGTGGTCAGAAATAAAACAGACTTTTGAGGAGGGACAAGAGAAGAGAGAAGGATAAAGAAAAGAAAATGGGATGGAGGGAAATACACGGCTAGTAATCAAACTATGAACATGAATGGAAAGAGCTCACCCATAAAACAGAAGTAGATAACAGAATAGATTAGAAATTGTTTTTTCTTTGCGTTTAACTGTTTTCAGTCATGTCCAACTCCTTTGGAGTTTCTTTCACAAAGAAACTGGAGTGGTTTGACATTTCTTTCTCCAGGTCATTTTACAGATGAAGAACTGAGGCAAACAGGTTTAAGCAACTTTCCCAGGCTCACACACTGAGGCCGAATAAGAACTTAGGTCTTTCTGACTCCAGGCCCAGCACTCTATCCACTGTGCCACCTAGCTGCTCCAGTTTAGAAACAACAATCTGATAATATGTTGTTTAAAAGAGACACACTTGAAACAGAAATATATACACAGATTTAAAATAAAGGGCTGACACAGAATCTATTATGCTTCAGCTGAAGTGCAATCATGAACTGAGACAAAGCAAAAGCAAAAACAGACCTAGTTAAAAGAGATAAATGAGGGAAACTATATTTTGCTAAAAGATACCACATACAATCACAAAAAAATTTTAAAGCAAGTTTCTCTGATAAAGACCTTATCTCTCATATATATAGGGAACAGAATCATATTCATAAAAATAAGAACCATTCCCCAAATGATAAATGATAAAACGATATGAATCAGCAGTTTTCAGAAGAAGAAATCAAAGTTATCTATAGTCATGTGAAAAATGCTCAAAATCACTAATAATTAGAGAAATGCAAATTAAAAGAACTCTGAGTTACTACCACCTCACACTTATTAGTAATGACAAATGCTAGAGAGGATGAGAGAAACTAAATAGGCTAATAAACTGTTGGTGGAGTTATGAACTAGACCAACCTTTCTGGAAGACAATTTGGAACTATGCCTAAAGGGCTATAAAACTATGCATGCCCTGTGACCCAGTAATACCACTACTAGGTCTGTAATCCAAAAAGATCAAAGAAAAAAGGAAAAGGACCTATATGGGCAAAAATATTTACAGCAGCTCTTTTTGCAGTGGCAAAGAACTGCAAATTGAGGAGATGTTCATCAATTGGGGAATGGCTGAACAAGATGTGGCATATGATTTTGACAGAATATTATTATGCTATAAGAAATGACAAAGGGAGATGATTTCAGAAAAACATGGGAAGACTTACATGAACTGATACAACGGGAAGTGAGAAAAACCAGATCATTATATACAGTAGAGCAATATTATAATGATAATCAACTGTGAAAGACTTAGCTGTTCTGATC